ACCCAATGAGAACTTTACAAGACATTACAGACTTTCCCCTATTTGTCACAGTACAGAAGTGTTTGAACTTAAACAGCAGTAAATTATTAATTACATTGCTTATAAAGTCTCAAGAGCAAGAAAAGGTTTTGCTGAAAGTGGCAGAAAAGGATTTTGTATCAAGTTTAAAACAAAGTATAACTGAAATTAAACACCAACCCACCTAAACAACAACAAAAAATACACTTGCCTGGCTGCATTTTTTACTGCGTGTTGAAAACTATTAACAGTTCATGATACCTATCAAACTTTCTTTTAAATATGAGCTTAAGTACTTTACTCTCAGTGTGCATTAATGTAAGAAGCACATAAGAAAAGTCAGACCAATAAGAATGTTGGTATTGACGGTATGTATGGTTTGATGAAACCACTGAGGCTGAAAGAAAAACCGTGATTTTACTTTTCCAAATGTGATGATTGTCCTGTTCTAGCTTAGTTCACCTGTCATTCAGATAGCTTTCATTTCCATGATGCCTTCGGCCAACAATAATCAAAGGAAAACAGTTTCAGTGATCAAAATATGAAATGAAATTCCTGAACTATTTTTTCAAGATTTCCATTTAATCCAAAAAGGCCAACGAAACCCTAAAAGTTCATCATCTGCCACGTTAACGCTGAACACACTGTTGTTTCATTTACATTTCTGGTCCTGTTAAAACAAATACACTTGTCTAAAACAGAACATTTGTTTTGGTTATAATACAACATATCTTTGGCAAGAACTCACAATAGAACTAACATAAATAATCAAGAATATTTATTGAATCTTGTTAAAAAAAAAAAAAAAAAAAAAAAAAAAACCAAACACAAACCCCTGATTTGTAACAAAAAAACCTGAAGACTAGATATGACTGTCTCTGGGCTCTAGTCCAGTCCTAATCTAAGTCAATAAACATAGCTCTAAAAGGGAAACTGCATTAAAAAAAAAGTCCTGCAGTTATTTAGGTTGAATGTAGGTATCTGAAAGCATGTTGGTTAAAAAAGTAGTTAAAAATATTTGCTTTAAATCAAACTGTCAAACTGAGTCCAAACAGATTTTAAAGCCACACAAAAAATCATGCCATATGCCTCATTTCCTACTACTGTCTACACCAATATGCCTTCTCCTTGGAAAACTTCAGTAAAAATGTATGTAGTTTGTACTTGCCATTGCTGGAGATTTGTATTTTAATTGCTTGCTTTTAATATATTTATTAGCACCAAACACAAAGCAGTTATCAAATTAAATGTTGTAATGTTTTTGAAAGAAACTGAAAAGAAGAAACTGAAAGAAAGTATTTTGACAGTCTCTTTTGATACTGATACAAGTGAAAATCTGTTCATCTGATTCTTGCCATACAACTAAAAAAAGGTGAAATTGTGTTCTCATTTAAGTAGTAGTTCAGTGCTTGGTAGAGTTGGATACTGAAGCCAAGTAGTAACTTCATGCACAATTCTGAAATTACTGTACTTTTGTAGTAGAAACTCATTCAGCATATTCTGCACATACATGCAATCAATTAAGTCTCCAGTTGTTTATTACCATTAATATTTATTTGAGTGCATACCTGTCCAGATTATTTGTGCATGCATCAACTGAACATTTGCTTTCTAAAATTAGAGACTATTATTGTCTCATTTCCCTGGCAATGCATTATCCAAGTTCCATATGATGAACTGGACATAAAAGTATGAACAGGTTTTTATTTTTTTATAATCATTTCTGAATCTATTCTCCCCTTCTAACAAAAAAAAAAAAAGTAAAAAAAAAAATAAAAAATAAAGTACTATCACATTGCAAGCTTTTTTTGCCAAGGAAGCTGAAGTCTGTGGTACCTTTCTGAATGACAGCTTAAGAAGTTGATTAGGATTTTGGTTTTAAAGCACTATAAAACAATCCAGCCTCATCTGCCAAGCCACTTTACATTTGGACTCCTTTCAGGAAAAAGATTGTAAATTCAAATACAATTGGCAATTCTCTGAAACTTGGACACAGCAATGAACTGAATTCCGTTTTGCTGGGCAAGGATTTCCACCTTTGTGTAGCTCAGTGCATCACTGTGACAGGCTGAATGCTTAGGAGATGGTATCATGTTAGATGCAACTGACTCATTCTGTTACAGTTTAAGCACTGGAGGAGTTTTGCTTTGGGGGGGCTGGGGTCGTCCTGCCCTCCCCCAGTTCAAACGCTATATTGATTTGTAAATCCATTTTTTACTTCTAACTGTGACCTGCTGATACAGATCTTCTTTAAAAATGAACTGTTGCAATATTACTTAAAGTGTTTCTTAGAGATTTTGATTGAAAAACAATTTATAAAGATAACCTGATCTAAAAGCATACCATGGGTTTCCACAGAACTGATCAGAGATCTGTGTTCAGCCTACATATATACAATGCACTCATTTTCCCCTACCATGAAAAAAAAAACCAAACCAACCAAGGGAAGCCTTGGTATATGAAAACAGAAAAGGGGTTTGTGATCTGAGAGCACGTGCCCACGGGGACTTTTGTTAAAAAATAAAAAAACAAAAAAAACCCAAAAAAACCCAAAAAAAAACCAACCAAACCCCCCCCCCCCAAAAAAACCCCACAAAAAAACCCCACAAACAAACAAAAAAACCCCAAAACAAAACAAAGCCAAAAAACAAACAAAAAAACCCAACAACAACAATTATAAAAAACAAACAAAAAAACCCAACAAAACCCAACCCAGGATCATCAGAGCAAGTCACCTGTCACAGTTCCCCTCAAAAGGTAGCAGTTCTCGCAATGTACACCTACTGTCAGCTATTGCTCAAATGATAATTCTGTACTACTTGCTCCTTGCTTAGCAAATATCACTTCCTATTTTGAACTCAGACTGACACAAGTTCCAGGCATTTCATCAGATTATCAGAAGTAGGGGGTGGATGTCTGGACTCATCATTCCTTTCAGTTACTAAGAATTACCAACTATATTCAGGAGAAAATTTTCCGGAGCTAGAAAGCAAACAAACTAAACTACCTGGAAGGACTCAGGTGGGAAACCCTAGCACTGGATAATGCAATGAGATAAACACAGTTTAGCAGAAAGGGCAACAGGAACAAGAAGATCGGTCAAGACTCTCAAAATATGGAGATACACAAGGACTGCAAGTCCATCGTATTTGTAAACACACATACATAAATGCACACACAATGTTCTAGAAAGTTTACTGCATCAAATGTCACCTATAGTATGAACTACCAAAAAATTTTACATTGTTCTGATTTTTACTTTAATATGCAGTACATCAGTGTTTTGCATACCAATTCTGAAGTAGGAACTAGCTCTTCAACATACATGAGCACAATGCAAGAATACACTTAGCAAATACATACTGAAAGCAAAAATGCTTTTGATTATGCTAATTTTTACTACCAGGAATTAATGTGGCACAATAAAAAAAAAAGATGCATTTATATATTTTTCCTAAATATAACTGTAAGTATGGGAGGGGGGGAAGGTTAAAAGAATTATCTGTCACAACTAGAAAAAACAATCAACTTGATCACCTGACTCTTGCTTTAGAGCATTTATACTGATTCCTATTTCACAAGAGCTTTTATCAATTTCAACAATGTGGTAGCTTCTACTGGCCCCCCAAAAGGATCAATACTGATAGTTACTATGCAAATTCTATAATATCGAAATATAAACAGAGAAAATATTAGAGCAAAAGAGGAAAAAACAGTGAGAAAATCATCCACCACAGTATTATATGAATAACTTCTGTGTAAACTAGTTATTTACATTTTGTAGCATATGATCAATAAATAAATCACTATCACTCTTTCACACAAAGTGGATCAACATAATGGATTTTTAAGCTATAAAGTGAACAACAGTGAAATAAAACATTTGCCCAAAAACCACACAGCAGAAGTGTTTTCCATTCTCTATAGTCATTAAAAATCTACCATTTTCAAATCGGATTCAGGAAAGAAGATGCCTAATTTTTCGAAACTTGATCAGCCTCCTTCCCTTACGAACAATTAAAATGAGAAAACCCTACCACATCTCCTGGAATAAAAAGGAGATTTAAGTATCAGATCTTGTGCAAATTTACTTAGAAATCTTAGAAACAAAGAACAAGTGCAATTAAACCATAGCAGAAGTTAATAGGAATAATATATTTGTTGACCATTCGTGTAAGATAACTTCCAAATCTATGGAGAAAAGGCTCTATTAAAGGTAGAAGAGAGAAAGGCCATAACTTTTTCAAAACTTTAGATAACTTATTTCAGCATGTTAAGACAGTGAAAACTAAGAACTGCTGTTAAACTTCAGATCAAAAGATAATCCAAGCCAGATCACTAAAAATGCTTTAAAAAATAAAAACAATCACCAAAGGAAAATAAAAAAAGCAGTTCTGCATGGAAGAAAGGGATATAAAACGGTTTCCATTAAAACCAAATAGCAGAAAAATTTAGTTTGACTTCAACAAACTAATGGATAAAATTTTAAGTTACAGAGGATAAATACCCTCACTACTTGCTGCTAGGTACAAGCGAAATACTCATTTCCAAACTATTTAATACCCATAGGATTAGCAAGCATTCCACACAGCAGTCAGACAACACAAGCTTTATCATTTGCATTTAAACCTCATTCACCAAGAAATAAACACACATTGTCAAAACAGGTCCTTGGATGTTTGAGCTGCTACTCTTGCATGCTTTGATACAATGATAATAGCA